TTGTGTTAAGAGATTTTGTTGTAGGGTTTGTAAAGTGCGGAAACCCGTAACATTGTGATCATTAATTGCNAATAATAATAATAATAATAATAATAATAATAATAATAACGACGTACTTAAAGAGTGCTGTTGACAAAGTGCACAGTTTCCTGAAGATGGTCCTGTGTGGTCGAAACATGTAGCACATAAACACAGAATGTATATATATATAAATGATGTTTTAAACATTTTAATGAACTTTATTGATTTAAGTATTGATTGGTGCCGTCTGACTTTATATTGATATTGCTGCATTATGGACGGAAGATTGCAAGTGACGTATGTTTATCTGTGAACTGTAAAAAGCGTATGTTTCATCTCGATATGTCGTCTTCAAGGGTAAGTGCTGTTCAGAGATATCGAAAGGGACACAGCACCCTCAATAGGCGCAGCACGATATCATTTAACCCATTTAAAGACGGACAAAAATGCAGTTCCTTCTTTTGACTCCATGATGATCATTAATAACCACAATATTATTTCTTCTTTTTAAAATTTCAGTAGCGTTTAATTTCGGAAAAGGATTCTGTCCTCCGGGCCTCTCCTTCTTCTTACGTTACAGTTCGCATTTTCTCATAAAAGAAACAGAATACCTGAGAAAATTAACTAAAGCCTATCTTATGAGAAAAATATTATATTTAAAGAGAATTTCTGACTGGAATATTGTGCTGTGCAGCCTAGTAGAAACCTGCCGTAGTTTCGGAGTAATGTATTGCCTCTATCTTCACGAAAGAACAATAAGCCAAGCAAGCAAGTAGCAGGATTATTCTGCTTGCTAGCCTCCCTTTTCGGTCCTTAAAACAGAGGCAGTAATCTCATCCGAAAAGTTAGGCGGCCAAAGATCCAGGAGGCTCTATGGATCAAATGGTTCAATTGTCGATTCTTTTGTTGCTGTAGTCCATCTTGCCGGTCACGGTAGCCCAGTGGTCTATGTACTGTTTTGCTTACTCGGAAGCCGTGATTTTTGGTGTGTGATTGTGTTCATTCTGTGTTTAGGTAGAGGCCTTGCGACGAGCTGATCACTCGTCCAAGGAGTCCTACCGTCTGTAAAAATGATCAATAAAACTTAGAAATCAGCCCCATGATCCAAAGTGAGAGCGAGAGGAGAAAAATAGTCCATCTCTCTACATACATTTTTCTTTAAGTAATATTATCCCCAAAATCATTTACCACTAGCTAGACTTTTCCCATGCTTCCAGAAAAAGTTATTTGCATAGAATACGATTATAACTTTCCTTGAAGATCAAATCTAAAATTTTGAGTCATATTTTCCAGCAACACAAACGCTTAAGAAGTTGTTTTACAAAGTGGGGAGAAAAATGTTCTGCAGGATAATCAGATGCAGTAGCAATTAGTGAGAATATGTCGTTTACAGAAATCACCTGGCTAAATTAACATCTAACTTCCCTCTTGGAGTAAAGGCGTACCTGTCAACAGTGGCCTCCAGCACCGAGTACATGTCCCATCTTGTGTTCTTCCGCGCTGATCGTTTCTCAGTGGCTGCGTAAGGATTCGTGAAAACCGTTGCATTCGTAGGAATATCGTAACCGAATTTCAAAACTACACCCATAGTCATGCTTTGATCTAGGAGAGTAACCGGTATACCAAAACCGAAGATAAACTGCAAACAGAACTGGCAGTGAAGATAGGAAATACAGATTACAGCACAGGAAGCCATAAATGAATTTGTAATGGAGCTCACAGTCACTGAAGAAAATATTTCTGTGGTAAATCTGAAGATAATTTCACACATCACACAATCGACAATCATAAGACGGAAGGATATTAAGAACAGAATCGTAACAAATAATAATAATAATAATTAACCAATTCTAAGGAGCAGAATCTTCCTTGAGAAGATTAGAAATGCTATGCTACTATGACAGTTTCTGTTTTTCATCGTGTTTAGAAGAATCTGCCATTGAACCCTAAGCAAACATGGATATTATCCTCATCACGGAAAAATGTGCTTTCCAGAACAATTTTGGTATTATCCTCCCATCTAGGCTTAGGTCTAACAAATGATCTCTTCTCATTAGGCCTCACGACTGAAATTTTGAATTCATTTACAAGTATAATCATTCAGTAATCCAATACTTTATTTTCACAACCTAAATCAACAGCTGCAGGAACAAATTGCAGAATTAGCATAGACAAACTAATATAAAGCGAAGGAAACAGTAAGGACATGTATGATAAGCACATACCACGTAATGTATTCTACTGCATATCAAATGCAGGACATGTATGACTTTAACAATTCAATTCTTATTTATTTACGTGCTAAATCAACAGGCCAAGGGCCAGTTACGATAATAAGTAGAATATTAATGTAATCATTTTGTTATAGCACGGTATAGGCCAGTTGTATGCAAGCATGGGGAAGGAATAACAAATGTTGTAAGAAGATGAAGAGAAAACACAAAGGACGCCATACTGAAGTCTACATGGAATAGTTGCAGCTGTTTTCAAAATTCGAAAGAAGAGGAAATTACCACTTGCAATTGTCGCAAATTCAGAACTCTCACAATAGCAATCTAGTTCCTTGAGGAATTGCATTAGGAAAAATGATTACTTTTATGCAAGTTTTAGAAAGGCGAAATCCGACTACATTAACCAAAATTTTTCATTACATCGTAAGCTAGTTACAGCTATTAGTAAGTCTAAAAGAATTAAATGATTGAAGTGTATTGACGAGAATTTAGGTCGCAACCCAAACAATTCTTGAAATATGCTCCTTCCTTCAGGAAAAAGAAACAATTAGGCTGAACCTGCTAGCACTTTCAGCCAGCATGTAGCAGACCTTGTTGTCATGTCTTCTCCAGCTTTTCCTTACATTTGGAAGGTTTATCTTTCTAATTCAGATATTTTAAAACTCTTAAGCATCTGAGAGCACCTAAATCTGTTGGCGTTGATAGCACTCCGAGCTTTGTTATTAAGGGTTCTACTGATATATCCGTACATCTTATTAAATACGTTTCTAATCTAATATTATACTTCAGCATCCTATTGCATTGGGGCACAATTTTAAATTGCATAGTATTCCTTCTGTAATGCAACAAAGCCAATCCTTTCTTAAAAGACACAAAAATATATTTAATTAGCTAAAAAAATATTTGTTATATTATACGGTACATATCATTAACTATGTACATATAATGTCATTGCTACATGTTTCGGCCATACATGGGCCATCATCAGGAAGCATGGAACAAACAGCCATAAACACACACAACTAAAGTCAACGACACAATAAGAAGGAACACTGAAAAGGCCGTTAAAAGAGAGGATGAAGATATCCTACCAAGCAAATTAACAACAACAAAAACAACGACGACGACGTTCCTAAGGGTACTAAGGACAAAGTGTACAGTGCAGTGGTCTCCCCAAACAAGTGCTTCCTGATGATGGCCAATGTGTGGCCGAAACATGTAGTAATGACATAAACTGTACATAGTTAATGACATTTAAAATGAAGAAAGCAGTCTTTTGGGATTTGGCACCGTGTATATGTGGTGTTAACCGACGTTTCGGAGGAACGTATCGCCTCCATCTTCAGGGTAGAAGAAAAAATATAAGAAATCTGCAAAGCGAAGAGACCGTGAGAACCGGTAAAAGCGGAGGCGATACGTCCTCCGAAACGTCGGTTAACGCCACATATACACGGTGCCAAATCCCAGAAGACTGCTTTCTTCATAGTCACCGCCGTGAAAGCCTCAAATCTTACAACGACATTTTAAATATTTAAGAATTATTTTTAGTGAATTAAATATATTTTCTTTTCTTTTAAGAAGGATTTACTTTGTTCTAGTACAGACGGAATACTATACAATTACAATATTTCCAATCTAAGCTTATCAAAGAAGTTACTGAATGCTGTTGTCACACTGGATATTACACCGTGTTTTCTGGTAGATTGCTATTGACGTTCCTCCGAAACGTCCTTAACGGTCGAGCAGACTATGCGTTGTTGCATTGTAGAAGACAGTAATTTTCACAGTCACGTACCTTGAGAACTTCAAGTCTAATCGAATTCCAGTTAATTTTTTATTCAAATTGTTTCTTTTTTATTTTAGGCCCATATTGATAAAGCCCAATTACCGATGTGATGACGAAAAGTTCTCACATTAGTTTTAAAATTTAACTTGAAACCCCATTAATGACATTATTATACTTCAAATTCTTTTCTGAATTCACGATGCATACGTTTGCAGTAGAAAATGCAGATTACTACAAATGATTCATTCCATTTTAAGACATTATATTTTCCAAAGTATTACGTATAAAAATATGACGTGTACATGAAAAGAACCGCAATCTCACCAATCTCACCAAGTTTGTGTCACGATACACCATTTTGCAGCATGAGTTCAGTGCCTCACAAAATGGCGACGAATCTGGAAAAGAGTTTCTGTGTGTTGGAATATGCGAGATGTTCGTCTGTTATTGCAGTGCAGCGCGCATTCAGAGCAGAGCACAGAGAAGAACCACCATGTAAACAGAGCATTCTGCGGTGGTATTTGCGGTTTAAGGGTACTGGTTGTCTGTGTAAACGGAAAAGCACGGTGCGACCAGTATATTGTTTTGAAATGGAATGAATCATTTGTAGTAACTCTGTATATTAACTACAGTATAAGAAAGAAAGTGTAAGATGTTTTCTTCCACTTAATATAATTTCTTGTGGCCCAAACGAAAAGAAATTCTTGCGCATAATGATATTGAATATATAGCCCTGATATTTCCTCTTAGAATAACTTTACTTGTAATATGCCTCCTCCTCTGAACACCAAATTTCTCCTTTTCCGAGAATGGCCGTAACCCATAGAGCGATCTTCAGAATTTCCAGCCAATGTAGGTTCGAAATTTTGCAGTATGATGTCGCACAGCAGGAGCACAGTTGCATACTCCATTCTCAGCTTCCTGTCCACAGACACGATATAAATGTGATGAATCTTTAAAGAAATTTATTAATAGCAGATTTTTTTTGTACTGCGATACTTACAGATAAATTTGATTTGATGCTACAAATGGCTGGGAAATTTCAAATATTTCCTTAATCAATTTGTTTTACAGATTGCTACATAGGACTGAATTTTCTATTATTTGATCCAATTCATACTAAATATTTCTATGTAATTCCATATGGAAGTACAGTCAAGATAAGAAAATGGTGCGCTTATATTCATATTGAAACTCCGGAATATTGGTAGTTGTTAAAATTCATTTTGATACCATATAAGAATTATAGCGAAACGAAAATAACTAATCTACACATCATCAAAATTCGTTGTAGTGTGTAAGTTTAAAACAAAAACGTTATTTTGGTCAATGATTCTGTAAAATTCACGGGAAAAAGAAGTTCCTTGTGATGAAGCAACGATGCCTAATAAACAGTGGCGGTTCTACTAATAGAGAAATAATATTATTGTTAAATTAAAGATTTTTTATAGTTCACAAAATTTCTTTTATGATATAGGCCAATTTCACGCACGTTTCAAAATTATGCTTATTTCAAATTTTTATTAAAATTTCTAGGTTGCACAAAAAGAATTTTTAATACAAGTTTACCCTTAACTATAAATTAATGGACTACTGTAATTTTATTCAGTCACCAAAATTCCACATCCCAAACTCCTAAAGTTAAAGCTTCCTACAATTCCTTTTTGGACGGTCACAATACTTACGTAATGTATTTTCTTATTTACGGAATTAAAGGCTGTATAACTTTCAAATTTCCAATATCGATGAAAACGTTAAAAACAAGGTAACACAATGACAACACAAACATAAGTACCTTGCTACAACTGCACTGGTAAAGAAACACTGCAGCTGATACTCCAGGCGTTAAAAATACTTCACACAATTCGTCATGTGTATTAAGAGACTGTTAATTAACCTAACACATTTATGAAACTGTCGACAAATTATGCGTGATTTTAGCTGTGAGTGCCATGGTGGTTAATGCATTTCCACCTCTGTGATCTTTCCTACATAATTAATTCATAACACTGGAACTTCAATTCTTCCGAATAGTTCTGAATAATTTTTAGTTCAGTTCCCTAATGAAATTACACAAGTAAATTTTTATATCCTTTACAATATGACTAGATGCAACAATTTTATTTTCCCAACTCCAGTGCAATATTAACTTCCAAATGGTTGGTTGTACACTTCTGTCTCTTTTATTGCTAGTGGGGTGGGACTAAGTCCTTTGTACTGCGGCCACTTCTGGCCTATTGTACCAGCCCCAGATGATGGGTGAGGGTGATTGTGGAGCAATTGGTGGAATGAAGATTGGCAGGGGAAACCGAAGTACTCGGAGAAAACCTGCCCCAGCGCCACTTTGTCCACCACGAACTCCACTTGACCAGACCCGGGATCGAACCCGGGCCGCCGCGGTGGGAGGCCAGCGACTAACCGCTTGAGCTATGGCGCAACCTCTGTACATGCTTACTTCATTACAAGAAAGTCGTATATTATTAATATTGAAATACACTTTAATGTCAATAATTTATTAAAATACTTAACTTGGATAATTGGTGTAACGGATATTTTAAGAAGTGACTTACTACCGAGTCATGGAGACCGCAATTCGCCGGAACTATTAAAGTCGTAACTTCCCGACATCCGTTCGTATGAACCTAAGAACCATATTTCTCTAAAGTGATTCCATCGAATATTGAAGCTAATAGAACGAAATTTAATGCAGTACTTAAAAAGTATCGGAGAAGTTCATGGAGGTAGGCCTAGGCCCACTGGGGCTGTAGTGCGAAGGGAAAAAAAAAACTTAAAAGTATTCTGAACCTTCTGAACACGTCTTCACTCCGTTCAACAACCATCACAGTCAGTTTATAAAAAGGGTGCAATAGTAATACAAAGTAATTCAATTTAGAAAGCTCTTGCTTGCAGCGTAGTGAAGATGCTGAAGTTCTGTGACTGTCTTTATGACTAATAATACTATTACTGTTAGACCTACTGGGGTCGTCCTTGTTTTCTTAGTTATAGACTACTTTCGCACATAGTCCGTTTATGCATTTTTTTCTGCTCACCTTCATTTCTATTTCTGCTTAACCGGGTTGCCGCGTTCATTAGGCATGTCCCTTTCTTTTTATTATTATTATCCCACAGAAATACGCCTGGTCCGTTGTCCATAACCATATACACTGATGCATACCTCCACAGCTCATACGTACGGTCTCTATTCAATCGTGATATTCACATTTGCAATATAAAACTATTTTTATGCTTTATTATTATTATTATTATTATTATTATTATNNTTATATGTATTTCTTTTTCTTTACTTATGCTCACTTTGTAATTTGCCTCTGATCTGTTAGCTTTGTACGTGAATAAATAAGAAGTGAGTTAAATTATTAAATTATTTCTGTCCCTGCGTCCTTTACGGTTATACTGTTGTTATAGAGCAGGTAAAATTGCATACCTTACTTGATCTGAGATATCACTTTGATGAACTCTTCCGTAGTAAAGTCTACCTTGGCTCTAATTTCTGCCCTGCTCTTCCGGAAATCTTTGGTCTTCGAGTTCCTACTCGTTTTGTCAAAGAATTTACTATGTTCTTTGACTATCCTTTTCTCAAGAATCTTCCTTCTACTAGTTACGCTCCAGCTGCTAATGATGTTTATACGGATGTTGACGTACTTAGAACCAAAATTGTTCTCCTTAATCATATTTTATAATTGTACATTTTATTTTGAATTTTTGTAATTTTAATTGTATTGAGGATTATTGTATGCGTATAATATTTCTCACTGCAACATGGTTGGAGTGATTGCTCCAATTAAATGTTTGTGGTGCAAATGATACAAGTTACCTTGTTTCCTATTCTGTGTATGTGCGTGCGGTCTTGTTTTGTTTGTCTCTTTGCTTTTCTTGTCTTCGTAATATTTGCCCTTAGGCTGTAAAATAAGCATGTAAGTGAATATCAAAGTAAATCGAATTGAATTAAATTGAATTATAATCCCATTCTTCTTAATGCAATTCTAAATCCATCTTCAGAATGTCTTACTTTATTTACACATAAGGAACATTAGATTATTGTTTCTTCAGTTATGTAGTAGTACATCCACAGGAGTTTGGAGAAAACTGCATAATGACGAGCTTCATAACTTGTACTCTTCTCCAAGTATAATTAGAATTATCAAGTCAGGAGGATAAGGTGGGTATGTCATGTAGCACGAATGGGGGAGACGAGGTATACGTATAGGATATTTGTGGGAAAGCCAGAAGGAAAGAGACCACAAGGAAGACCAAGGCGTAGGTGGGTGGACAATACTAGAATGGATCTTAGAGAGATAGGATGAGATGGTATGGATTGGATAGATCTGGCTCAGGATAGGGACAAGTGGAGGGCTCTTGTGAACACGGTGATGAACCTTCGGGTTCCATAAAAGGCTGGTAAATTCTTGAGTAGCTGCAGAATTGGCGGCTCCTCCAGAAGGGTTCAGCTCCATGAGTAAGTCAATGTGCTGGTACATATTTCAGGTAGTGACACATGTTTTCAAACAAGGACTTCTTAGAGGACAGACGTTGCATAGAGCAAGGAAATGCAAAATACTAGATCGAATACGCCAGTGTGTCTGGTTTCGTTCTCTTTCAAATTATTTTTGTGATACTAATTTCGAAACGACGCAAACACGTGTTGATCAGAATAATAAAAATTAGGCTATGTTCCAGTTGGTGCCGATCACGGTAGCTGAGCGGTCTAAGGCATGTACTGTCTTCGCTCGCTTAGAAACCGGGATCGTGGGTTCGAATCCCACTCAGGGCATGGATGTTTGTGTGCGTTTTTGTGTGTTTGTCTACAGGTAGAGGCCTTGACACGAGCTGATCACCCGCCCAAGAAGTCCTACTGTATGTGTAAGATCTAGAAAAACCGAAGTGAACGGAGAAGTTCATGGAGGTAGGCCTAGACCCACTGGGGCTGTAGTGCCAAGGAAAACAAAAAGTTCCAGTTGAGCACTATGAGCTTTACATCATGAAGGATAAACCATGTGCTAACGGTCCAATACTAAACAGGCTCGTTAAAAGGAGATTGTTTTTACTTCGACATTAATAAATATGTGGAGCGGTTTCATCTGTGTGCCTAATATATAAACATCTTCTTTGTTATGCTAAGCACTTTTCTATGATGCCTCAAGTTAATGAAGAAGACACGCAGTTTGCTGGGGTCATTGACAGTGAACAGTCGCTTGACCCTGCATTATTTAACTGTACTTTCCTACAGTGAGAGCCAGGGACTTGAACACTACGCTGCCCTCATAATAACGAGACATGTTTTCGAGGTCTAAGCAGTAAATCTGGTTACTAAACAAAGTTTATGGCAGTGTCATAGCTCAGGCGGTTAGTTACTGGCGTCGCTAGCGCCCCACCGAGGCGGCCTGTGTTCGAGCCCAGATCATATGCGACATATGCGACATATTCATCATCATAATAATCTACCATCCGGGGCTGGTACAATAGGCCAATTAGTGGCCGTCGTACCAAGTGGACTCAGTGTCACCCGAGATCAAGAAACTAAAAAAAAAAACTACAAAAATAAAGCTGACGAAGATGACTTTTAATGGTTTCTGAATTTTTCCTGCTTCTTACACAATAAACATAGTCTCTAGTGCCAGTTATAATAATTTCAAGATTCCAATCTCCTTCTAGCACTCTCCAACGCCCCTTACATGTAGCCCAGGTCTGTAACACGTGGCGCATTATATACGCAGAAACGATCTGGCGTAAATTTTTGGTTTTATCATGTGATTTATGGAACAGGCTATCAAAAACATACATGTGATTCTTTTCAAATATTTTTGCGTAATTACCGCTTACAAGATATGTAAGGTACAAAAATATCGAAAAAGAATTTCCTCAAATTTTCGAATGAATGCCACAATTTGGGGAATTCAGAATTTTTTGGAAAACAAATTTTTGTGTAATCACCTTAAAACTAGTACCAGACCGACACGTGTCTATTATTACATGTTGATTATGGATTGTGTGCGTACTCTCTTCTCCAGCGAACAATTGAATTATTTATCCATTCGTTCATTTTGTCGATCCGTAAATGAAAGGGCAGTACGATTAACCACAAAGAGCCTTTCCAATTAATGGCATTGTGACCTACACAGAGTTACAATCAACAACTGCAAGTAATAGAAGTAATGAACTAGAAATATAACAAGAGACATAGAAGTTTATATCACTTATATTTACAACATATTAATTGCTACCGGGAAATTTACAAATTAAGATGAAAATATTATTAATATTTGTGAGGGATGCTGCGAACCACAACAGGCTAGTTATCACAAGGTGCGGAATCAGTCAAGAGTTTCCCTTTCATACTATAAGCCTATACCACACACAATCCATAATTTTATTTAACTGATACCTAAAGGTTAATTTCGGTTCTGTGGTCTAGTGGTCAGATTTCCCGGGTTCGATTTCCGACGCTACCAGATTTTCTGAGTAGTGGGTCTGGAAAAGGTTCCACTGAGCCCCGTGAGGATAATTAAGGAGCTATTTCAAAGATATAGGGGTTCCGGTCTAGAAAACCGAAATTAACGGCCGTGGGGATCCGTTGCGCTCACCACGTGACACCCTCTATCCGCAAAAGTTAGCAGTAACTTTCCCTACAAGCGGCGTTCGCTCGGTCGGTATAGTTAGCTCGCGGACTCAAGCCACGTAGTTTTGTTCTGTTTTGATACCTAGAGGTTTTCCGTTGAAGTACGTATTTCTTGAAATTTTCGGTTGAAATATTCATAGAAATCATTAAGATTTTACAACGAAGTAAATTCTGACTTACAAATAACAGTGCACATATTTAATATGAGTATATACACGTAATTTCGCTATGTGTCGCATACTCGCAACTTAATCAACACGCCTGTGTTTCAAACATCACCATGTACACTCCAGTGTCTCCTGGGTAACTGTAGACAAAGTCGGTGAATATTATTCACTGAAACTTTTGTAATTATCTGACCGGTTCTCACGGTCTCTTCGCTTGCGGATTTCTTATATTTTTCCTTCTACCCTGAAGATGGAGGCGATACGTTCCTCCGAAACGTCGGTTAACACCACATATCCACGGTGCCAAATCCCAGAAGACTGCTTTCTTAATATTAGTTTCTTTACAAATGAACTTGATAGCTCAGAAGCAACTTGCATGGCCTGCAATTTCCTAACGCTGTCGACCTAATGCGTATATAAGCTTACACATTAGAAACTTGCGGGGACAATGGAAACGCTGATGAATTTAGCGACGTACTGAACGTATTTTGATTCTCTTCGCGTTTAAGATACGTGGTACGGCTAGTTTGAAAACACACCAGAGTCAGCGATTGGAGTTTGTGCGAACACAAAATGAAGGTGGTCGGGGAAGGACGCTTTTGGATTATTCACCCAAACCAATATCATATCAGCAGTGTGCTATGACTGTGACTTTGACTGTGACTTTGTCTGTGACTATCATTTCAGCATCTGTTATCATACAGCGTCAAGGTCTTTCCCGATAACGGTTATTGTTAGAATTTCAGCTTGGGTTTATTTCAACAAAATGAGAAGTTCATTAACGTCTATGTATTTAGTCCCTCAATAACGCAACAATCATTAAAATATTCACCATTTAACACCAACACAATTTTAATGATTGTTGCGTTATTGACGATCTAAATACTTACGTACTCATGGAGCTGAGCCCTTCTGGAGGAGCCGCCAATTCTGCAGCTACTCAAGGATTTCCCAGTATTTTATGGCACCCGAAGGTTCATTTCCGTGTTCACAAGAGCCATCCACGGGTCCCTATCCTCAGCCAGATCAATCCAATCCATTCCATCCAATCATATCTCTCTAACATCCATTTTAATATTGTTCACCCACCTACGCCTTGGTCTTCCCGGTGGTATCTTTCCTTTTGGTTTTTCCACCAATATCCTACACGCATTCCTCGTCTCCCCCATTCGTGCTACATGACCTGCCCACATCATCCTCCTTGACTTGATCATTCTAATTATACTTGGAGAAGAGTACAAGTTATGAAGCTCCTCATTATGCAGTTTTCTCCAACCTCCCGTCACTTCATCTCTCTTAGATCCAAATATTCTCCTCGACACCCTGCTCTCAAACACTAAATACGTGTATATAGACGTTAATTAGAGATGTGCAACAGGAGGCAGAAATACAAAATTACGAGAAGCTGATCTTGTACGGGTTTCAAATATATTTCTCCAGTTAACTTACCGAATTCTCTAGCCCAGTATTTCTGTATCAGTTAGCCGTGAAACTTGGGTATGTAGGACTTTTCAAATTCAAATACGGCTCCACATACCCGACTGTGTATCAAAAATGCTGCAACAATACGAACTCGTCTTCAACTCAGATTTCATCTCACTGTTGGATGCAGTTCCTTCTCCCATGATTTACAGCCGCGTCAGTAGATTATCTTACTCTCCTTCCTTAAGAAAGAAAGTAGGTTTGAGGATTCACCATGCTGTCCCCCCCCCAATTCAAATTTTGAATTAGATGACCGATTTTTACAGACTTTAGTATGGACGTTAACACAAGTAGAGGTCACCCCAAATTTGTACTTCTATTTCCTGTAATGCATAACAACAAGTTCTCCAATTGAAATAAATAATAATTTATTAAAGTCGTCAAAATTCTACATTTAATTAACAGCATATTAAAATATGCTACAAGAAATCATAAACTGTAAAATTGCTATTACAGTACAATTGCCAGATGATGGTTTTTAATAAGCCGAAACATGTAGCAAGTTATACCACCAAGATCAATAAACTCACAATACGCACTTGATGTCAATGAGGCTATAGAGAGTTGTGTTGTGACGGATAGAAGAAGCTGTTATACGTTACCACAACAGGATACACTTCTTGAATGTTAACAGAAGTGTAATGTCACACAGTAGACAGAAGCAACTATAAATACAGAGCTCTAGAAGTTAAATAAATTTAGGCCGCGCCATAGCTCAAGCGGTTAGTCGCTGGCTTCCCACCGCGGCGGTCTGGGTTCGATCCCGGGTCTGGTCAAGTGGGATTTGTGGTGGAAAAATGTGGGCCTGAGGCGGGATTTCTCCTAGTACTTCGGTTTCCCCTGCCAATCTACATTCCACCAAATTCTCCATCATCATAATCACCCGGGGTCGGTTACAATAGGCCAATCAGTGGCCGTCGTGCCGAGTGGACCCAGTTGGACTCCACACCCCACTAAGCGAAGCTAAATTTAATTTTTAAATAAATATAGAACACGAACAAACAAACTGTGTACATTACTACGTGCATTATTAACAGGTTTCATATTGTAAATTTATAATATGCATTTTCTATTAAAAGTTCTGGTATATCTGAGCCGTGCTAAGCTTTAGCTCGCTCACGATGATGTCATCATCTTTCCTGTGACGGATTCCATCCCCACTATGCGGTATCCTGACGTCAGTCACGTGGTCCCAGGTACCCTCTTGTGAAGGGGAGACTTGTGCAGTGCAGTCGTTTAGACCAAGTCGACTTGGAAGGTTGTTTACTAGCCAGCAGGTTTGTGGTGGAAAATATTGGTTTCGGCTGGGGCTGTTCTAAATTCCCTTTGGTGTTATCTGCTGGCCGGTAAGGACTGCCCGCGGTCGCAAGCCGTTGCAGGAACGCTTGCGACGCGCGTATTGGTTTTGGTTTGGTTTTTAGTCTCAGAATTTAGACTTGCGTTTGTATGGCCGGAGGGCTTAACGTCTTGATATTTCTAGCGTCGACACAAGTGGTGCCGACGGGAAATTGTTAGTCTAATTAGTCTAAATGAGCTTGTCTTTGTTTCTTGGTCAAATGTGTCTTTTTTGTTATTTATGTATTGTTATATTTTGTTATTAAATTGTATCTGGTTTTATCTAAGCCAACGACTGAGTGTAGCTTCCTCCTCCTAGCTTGGATACCCCATCTCCATCTAGGGGAGCGTGGGAACCGACAATAGAGCCAGTAACGATTGCGCTGTGCCCTTCCTCTTCGTAATAGTAATGATTCATAGTAATCAGTGGAGAGGAAGACGAAGGGCGCGGTGCATATCCGCCGACTGAATTAGCCTTCGAGGGACAATTCCCAATGCGATGATGAACGTTAGAGTCACAGTAGTCTCTGATGAACTCAATAGGTGCAGGTAATCTAATGGTACCAAAGGATTGGAGGGGCAACTTAAGTTTGGTTTTAAAAGAACTGGTAAGGAACAGAGCGGTAAGGTACTGGACTGAACTGTTGAAAGATTCAGCATAAGCAGTATTTCATCATTTCACTATCAGAGGTGTTAATAGAAATCTCCTATAGCATAACTTTACAAATTCACTTTCAATTTTTTCGGCCTGAGGTGAATCAGTGAATGCAACGGAACCAGGATTACAGAAGCGTGCATTTGTTTATAGGGAATTAGGGCAATACATAGTCTTGTAGGACTATCAATATTCTAAAGAGAAAATGTATTTATAACGAATGTGGCCCAACACTTTCGAACCATGATATAGAACATTAATCAACGTGGCTTTAAATTAAAATATACGGAACAACTAAATTAAAAGTTCTTTGATGTTTCCGGTACCGAAGCCATCATTCATAACCACACGTAACCACACTAATAAAGCAAAAGAATAAAAGTAAAGCTATCCCTGTAACAGGCCGTGAAGGCCAATTAGTTTGTGAGACGTCGATGCTTCCACATTATCTAGACAGTCGGCTCACAGATGTTGGTAAGGTTGTCAGCCTTACACTCCTGTCGTCCTTTACCACCCAGGAAGATTTATGGTACTCATTTCTCTTAGAGGCTGTGTAGACCCCAAGGCCACAGTGCGGCTGGAAGAATTTGGTATATTGAAAGGAACCACCTCATCGTAACTCGAACCCTCGACCTTCCGGTTTGTAGCATAATGCCTGAACCAACTACGCTACCTCGTGCCCCTTATGACACTAGGAACAAAATGATAGGTAGCTATGTAATCAGTAATTCAGATTAACGTTGCTAGTCTAAACAATAATAGTAAAGAGTACGGTCTTGTAAATGGTAACTTCATATAGATTTTTTGAGCAGGTATCCCTGTGATTAAAATTTTAAATTTTAAATTAAAGTTCTAAATCAAATCGACGTGTGTATATTAACAGAAATTTTAAACATAACTGACAAAATCAGCAAGGAGATTCTGGTATATCGGGACCGATTGAAACGCAGCAATGACAATTGAGAGAGCTGGTGTTTTTAAATTTTAAATTACATGCAGTGTGACAGCTATGTAAGTGAAAATACACATAATGATGGCCAGTTACGGCAGAAACATGTAGTGTATAAGAATAAAGAAAAAGAACTACAAATAAATTGTTGAATTTACGACGGTATTTATATTATACATATAGAAGTGTAGAGTGCAAAAGGATGCTTAAATATAATATTGTTGAAGCCCGCCGACGTTTCGGAGAAACGTATCACCTTCATATTCAAGCTAAGTTAGTCAAGGAAACAGCTTGACTTACTCTTCAGCACTGAAGACTGAGAGCATAAGTTCCTCCGTTACAATACATTTCTTCACAAGCTTTAAACGTTTGTGACAATGGCACACTATACTGCTGAACATTATCCAGATCCTGTTTGTATTTAAAACACAACGTTTCGGAGACTGGACTCTGTCTCCATCTTCAGGTGGAACCTTAGTCCCGAGTTATGGATTAGCTCTATTGATTGGGCATAACTGGGTAGGGTTTACATGAAGACGGAAACGGAATGGTGTCTCCGAAACGTTGTGTTTTAAGTGAAAACAGTGTGTGTATAATGTTCACAGTTCGGTCCAAGACACTCAGGAATAAACTTGTTTGCTTTAAACCGATATAAATCGAAAAAAAGAAAGTGTTACTGCATTTTTGTACAAGCTGCAGAAACTGCCGAAATTGTTAGTTTTCTGAACACTTTAGAACTCCTGCTTACCAAGCAAAGATGAGGGCTTGAGCCCATTTCATGCTTAACTTGCAGGGTTTAAGGTGAATTCCGAATAAAAGTTTACCAGTCAAGGACAAGAATGTGACAACAATTCCCAAATTAAACTAAAGAAAATTTTATCATTTGGGGATATTTAAGTACAGGGGAACTACACACAAGAAAGAAACTGGCTTGATTGTTCGTAAGCTCCGGCTTGGTTCAACAACTCATTTCTTAACGAATATTCAAAATAATTCAATTTTTGCCGGTTTTTCCCCGAGCTACCAACCTGAGGCCGCAATCTTGGTCTGAACTGGAGCATCTATGAAGTTCAGCAAAGCCACTTCCTGGTCCACTGTTAGAATCTTTTAGTAATTATCAAAAATAATTAAATATTACACTTTCATTAATACTCGTAACCTCTTTCGCTTCAAAAATTCCATGTTTGCTTTTGCTCTAAACAGACTAAAGCACACTAATATTCAACTTTAGAAATAAAATCCAGAAGCCCAACTTCGCACTCGGAGTACAAAAGGTGACAATTTCCGGAAATTTCCGTTCCCAGCCTCTCTGCAGCGTAGTACTCACTATCCATGTAGGTTCTGCGGGCCTCCGTTGTTGTCGAGGGCCTAAAACAGAAGGGATATTCAGATCTGTGTAGAATACTTTTCTGACAATTATCATTTCAAAATAGAACTCTGCAGATTTGATTTGGTTCATCCTGGTCCGTCACACTAGCAATATTATAAAAAGTTATCAATTCCGTCCAGTGCGACTGATATTTTTCCCCCCTTTTTTATTCTTTCATCCTTGACATATTTCGGTCTAAGAGACCAACAGGGCTGCCCGAACAACAGGACAACAACATTAAAGGGTCCTCTTCGTCAAACAAAGGAACCATGACGTGGCAGACACTCAACTTCCTTTAAACAGAGGCAGTATAAAGGACACGGACCAAACTGGTTCTAAATTTTAACAGTCTTCTTAAACAAACTAATTATAATAATTTATAAATATTTTAATATATTCATTCACACCTCTCTAGTTGTTAAAGGATCAGGTTTTATATTCATGACAATGTAATGATATTGTATTTATGTATTGATATTGACCAATTCCCCCTCGTTGGTGTCTCCACCTTATCGTGGTGAGGGGGTTTGAGTATGCCAAGGACCCTGAGAGCTATACCAGCGGTAGCGTAGCTACTGGCAGGGCCTCTCTTGCTGGACTGGTCAAGGGTAGGCATCAGACGAAGAGAGACACCAAAAACTGATGCCGGAAGCAGCGTCATCATCAGCGACTTGAAGCACAGACCAAATGATGCTCGAGATGGTTCAAGTTCGTATAGCAACAGGCGTGACCAGAGTGGTTTGAATGGCTGTTGTTTTGGAAGAGACTGTGGACCTGTCGTCTGACAGATTACCGACGTAATCTGACGACGATGATGATGACTGACCAATTATATTTTAATAGTAGTTTCTGCCTGTATTGATAGATCCTTCTGAAGTTGGTCTCTCAAACCGAAACATGCCAAGGATGGAGGAATAAAAAGAAAAAAGACATTTATCAGTCACGGTGGACGGAATTGCTAGCTTTTGTAAGAGATCTGTAGGATTATACGAGTAATATTCTAGTTTGTAACTTCACTATAAAATGACACGTATAAGCATACTTCATTGGGAATGGCAGTATAACAGTCTGGCATATTCAGCTTCACGATATCAAGACACGGAGTTAAAGATATTGCTGTCGTGTAAGCAATTTACTTACCGATCAGGTTTGCACACATATGTAAGTTACCACCCAACCTCTATTGAAAGTGAACTTTGTTTGAACGTAGACCAATGCTGAATTCCATAGGATTTTTTACCGGCTCTGTTCTATTTTTATTATTATTGCATTACCTAATATCAGATCACCACTTAACCAGATGCAGCCGAACGTTGCCTTGAAGTGGCTATCATTTGAGCCCAGAGGATCCGGGTTTAATACTCGGCTCAAAAACCAAATCACATATATATGAGATTATCGCCATTTTCTCCAGTCTCTCATAGAAACATTTCGTTACGTCTCTTTCTCCACACATGCATCCATATCGTACTCCCAACCGACATTAACATCATCGTCGTTAAATAGACAATGAGACCAAAAATCATCAGTAGGAATGGACCAGCATTACGTTTAGATGACTATACATGTGGTTAAGTGAGCTTAACTCTTTGCGTCTCCGACTGTGAAGCAGGTTTTTTTTGAAAAACTATTTTTCACAGCCTAATCACTGGAAAAATAGGATTTGTCTTCACTGGTTCTACAGCCCATTGGGCCTTGGCCTCTGATTTTCAGTTTCATCATAATTTCATAGATGGTAGGACTCCTTGGACGGGTGATTAGCTTGTCGCAAGACCTCTACCTAAACACAGAGAAACACAAACAGAAAGTAATACTCGTAAATATACCATCCATGCCTTGTGTAGGATTCGAACCCACGATCCCGGTTTCCAAGCAAGCGAAGACAGTACATGCCTTCTTTTTTAATTCACTTAGTGGGGGGTGGAGTCCAACTGGGTCCACTCGGCACGGCTGCCACTGATTGGCCTATTGTACCTGTCCCGGGTGATTATGATGATGGAGAATTTGGTGGAATGAAGATTGGCAGGGGAAACTGAAGTACTCGGAGAAAACCAGCCCCAGTGCCACTTTGTCCAACACAAATTCCGCTTGACCAGACCTGGGGTCGAACCTGAGCTGCCGCGGTGGGAAGCCAGCGACTAACCGCTTGAACTATGGCGCAGCCCAGTACATGCCTTAGACCGCTCGGCAGACCGGCAGAAAGATAGGAAATGGTTGATTATGTTCTATCCAAATAAAGTTTTACTTCAAATCGAAGACGTTTAAGATCAGGCATCCATGTGCATGTTCCACTTTAGCTGGGGCGTCATAAAGCTTTGAATATCTTAATCCCTCAGCATCATCATTGATTTCAGTGTATTACAGATGTTACGAAGCGAGTCCTCCGTGACGATTTGGTAAACTGGGCCTTTAGTAGAGCCCAGAGCTGCATCACTGCCTCTGCAAGGGTCAGTAACTGGGCTCTATACTGAGGTATTCAAATCTGGTTTACAGCTTCACGTAATTTTCCTTCGACATTAATTTAATATTATTCTCCCATCTACGGCCATGTCTCCCACATTATTTCTTCCCTTCAATTTTCCCCACTAAACTGGATTCGTTGCCCTGACCACGTGATACTCTCTATCCGCTAAAGTTGGCACTAACTTCGCCGACAAGCGGCGGTCGCTAGGTCGGTATAGTTCGCTTGCGGACTAAAGCCAGTTTTTTCTGTATGTTAAATTTCTCTGTGCATATCCCCTTTCCCCACGCCTGCTGCATAATCTGCGCATCTCATAAAGTGTCACAAAATAACAGAATACAAATTGTCTAGACATCGCATATTTTAGTCTTCTGGAAAAGAAGAAGTGAATGAGATTTGAGGTTCCCACGACGGACAGTGTTATGATATTGTCTACTTGTATGTGACTCAGTGTAGTCTGGTAGATACCTACAGACATTTCGATGGAGGATGTTGTCTGCATTTTTATGATAGAAGAGTAAAGGGTTTCTTCTTCTATTCCGAAGACGCAGGCTATGTTTTTCTACAAAATTGCAGCAAATATCCATCAGACTATTGCCTCATATTCCAGATGGCAGTACTCTACATAGGCGCCGGTATGTCGATATAAATCTTGCATTATTTAGACAGAATTGCATATATTGTTCGGTTTTGTGAAAACAACTGGAGGAAGGCATTTGTCATCAGTCATACAGACTGATTTATGGGTCAGAAGCGGTAGTAATTATACCGTAAGGTCTGATATATGTGTTTAATATTTCTCAGATAGATATGATAGTCATGATCAGTACCCACTGTTCAAAGTGTGAGCTCGCTTTTGTCTTTTGAATCACTGGTCTGAAGATACTCACGTGAGCAGAACATGCAGCACCTCTCCAGCCAGGCCATTGTGTTGCAGTGTTGTGTCTGCGGCCTCACAGATGGCTCTGAGAACGCAGGCTCGTCCGTCCAACCCCAGTCTGAGAACAATTGCATAATGTTTCATTAAAAACACACTATTCACAATATTACGGCGTACTAAACCTGCACAATACGGAATTTAATAATTTTAAATCTTAACCAAATGTATTAAGGCTATTGAATCAAAGAGTACGAGATGGGCAAGACATGTAGCACATACGAAATTAGAAATACACGCAAAATTGAGTCGTAAATCACCAAGGGAAGAGACTACTTCGAAGACCTAGGCGTTGATGGGAGGATAATATCAAAGGATTATTTAAGAAATTATATTAAGGATGTGAACTGAATTCATCCGACTGAGGATAGGTTTTATTGGGAGGCAGTTGTTGTGGCTGTTGAGAATACGATAATGAAATTTCGGGTTCAATAAAATGTGAGGGATCTCTTGACCCGATGATGGATTATTGGTTTTTCAAGAAGGGCTGTTCTTCTCGGATCACTATTGGTGATCAGCTCTTTGATAATATAGCTAGAAAGTTCAAAGGAAGCAACTCTTTGATGTAATTACGAATTCTCTGTCCTGTATCTGTGAAACAATTTTAAATTCATTTTGGTGTTCGAGTTGTACGCTGTAGTACAAGTTAATGCACTAGAATTCTGCATGCTCTTACAGCTGAATGCCCAGCCCATCATAACAGCCGAAATCATATTGACTGTCCTGTACACAGTGTGACCCGTTTCTAGTGTCTCGCAATCGGCTAATTTCTTTATCCCTGCTCTGTTACATTGATACATATTTCAAATAAATTTACTGTATTTTATTCACCTTGTAGTTTTGCCCTTTAGACTTCTGTGGTAATTATGTGTACCATCTGCTTTAACATACCAAAACTCTCCATTCTGCTTATAAAATGTATTTGTGTTTTTCGTATATTTATCATGATAAACATAGTGTTTCCTTCTAAACAACATTTTAAACCGCTGATAATTATACTGGATGACATAATATTTTTCTTATGATGTACGAACTGAATGTTTATTTACTAAGTAAAAGATATTCAGCCCAAAGTGTTACATTAACATGAACTCAAAATTACAGAATGGCCCAAAACTCATTTAACCTAAAATATTTTCTCGACTGATGGGAAAATTCAGATATAAATTTGCCATTAATTCTGTGCTATTGTGTCGTGGTGTTGTGAGTTGTTCATTCAAAGTGAAGGGTTTCCTCTTTTAACAATTTTTATAAACTCAGAAAACAGTAAAGTAGCATCTAACGTATTTTTACTTAAAATTTACTAAGCAGTTAATTAAATTTCTGACCAACCTGTATATTTATTAGATTTATTGTAAATTTTTATATATTTTTTTACTTTGTTTAGTGAGTATTTATTATTGAAATTCCCCATAACAATTTATGTCAGAAATTAATCGATGTATCACATATAAGAAAGTGTAAATGCTTTGAGTGTCTGGAGTTTTCTTACGTTTTATGGACCCATGTACCTGCTACAGGCTGCCTCCAGCATGGAATAAATATCCCATCGTGAAGTCTTTGAAACACTTCGGCGCTCGCGGTTAAATACAGAATCCAGATATACGGAAGAGTTCGTGGGGACGCCATAGAGGAACTTGACCACTGTTCCCATGGTGAGTGACTGATCTTGAATCAGTATTGGCAGACCAAACCCCATTATCATCTGTGGAGAGAAAAAGACTCGACTAGTTATGATATTTTGTGAGATACTCCTAAGTCCTCAGCTGCTCAGGAAACTGGAATACAGAGGTTCTTTATTATATTAAAAACACTAAAATGTAACGAATCCTCAAATAGTTGAATCTGTGTTACATGGTCACAAGAATAAACTCCATTTGAAGATTACTAACTTCTCGGATATAACACTGCGTAGTACGTTGAAAGTCAACTAACGTTTCGGAGGAATACGAAGGGGTANAGCTCCACAATTTCTTCAATGGTCCGTCGTCGATCTTCCTTGATGATTTCACGAATTTTTTCAACATTTTCATGTGTTCGGGCCGTGGAAGGACGACCAGAACGAAGTTTGTCATCAATTGACATTTCACCATTTTTGAAACGGGAAAACTACTCAAACACTTGAGTTTTCCCCATAGCATCGTCTTTGTACGCCGTTTTTAACATTTCAAGAGTTTCTGTTCCACTTTTCCCGAGCAAAAAGCAGAATTTCACCTCCGCACGCTGTTCACGAAAATGAGCCATTGCAAAAACGACGATCACACAAAACAGTTGTCACTATAAACTCTGCCGAAACTAGTAATTACCTTCTGAAGCAACGGTAGTCGGCTTATCGACTCAGGAATGTTAGCTCTATGGGCCCATAGCGGCAAAACGCAGTACTACAAAAGCTCTGTCCACAAAAAAATTAGTTCAGTTTCTTTTGGGTACCCCATCCTATATCGCCTCAATCTTCAGAGACGAAAAATAGGTCGAAATGTCAGTATATAGCAATACCTCGCATAGTCCGGCTTCGATCAGTTCGGATTCACTATAGTCCGGTTTGAAAATGTAAAAACAAACTAAATTTTAATTGAGCAAAATAAAAATAAATTCGAAATAAGTACACAACATTATTTTTAATACATAAATGTTCGGGTTTTCCCTTTATACAGTTAAGTCTCTTTTTGTGCGGTTTATTTTTATGTGGTTTTAAAGTTATGCGATGCGATACATATTTCAGTTTTTCCTGGGGTTCCCCGCTCTATATGTATGTACCTATGCTCGGGTCGTTCGTTCTTGAGCTCTGACAGCTATAGCTGGAGGAGGTGGGGAGAGCACTGCTTTAACGGAATTTTGGAAGAGCTTCAACAAACGTTATCGACAATATAGGCGAAGCAAGGCATGAATTAACGGCAAGCAATATGGGGCAAGTATGGAAACATATCATACGACATTGTGCGAATGATTTCATTGGTTTTGAAACTCATTTTGCTGAAATCACTATTAACATAGTGGAAATTGGACAGCAACTTTGTTTCAATGAGTTAGATTTCATCAACTTAATTGAGTGCATCAAAGCGAACACTAATGAACTAGATAATGAAAAACTTATTAACACAGATGATCAACAGGCTTATGAAGACAATGACGACTGTGTTGAAGTGCCTGCACGAGAATTAACATCTGAACAAATATAAAAAATTATTGGAATGGTTGAAACCTTGTCAGAGCATATTATGGAAGTTGATCCCAATATTGAACGTAGCCTTTCAATTCGCGGAACGATAAACAGTGCAATTCGTTGCTAATTGCGAAAAATATTAATTTTTTAAAATTATTTCTAATAAAGACATTTGAATCTATTAATCGCGTTTTATTTATTGAAAAACGGAGAAATGTTTTTGGAACCAATTGTCATTTTTTGTATGTGTTTATTTCCTCGATTAGTCTGGTTTCAAACAGCCCGGGATATTGGCGGAACCGATTACCTGGACTATGCGAGGTATTGCTGTACTTTTAACGGACTACACAGTGCTGTAACCCAGAAGGTAGTACTCTTCATAAGGACCACTGTGAGAACCACAAGTCATATATACAACTCTATTTGTTCCAGAAACTACTTGTACTTTGCTCCCAGTGCTATTGTAATTTATAAAATAAAATATGGAACTGAAATATTTTAGTGTAGTCATTCCCACAGAAGAACAACAATACGTTTCAAGAATACAACGAATACATCAGCATTGTTGCTTGATAAGAAATCTCTGAATAGTGCTATAAGTAAAATTCATGAAATTCACGTAATTTATTTCTCGGGCAATATTCAAAGATGTCATGAACTAAAAGATACGGAATTTCTTGACTCGCTCAAGGACATTTAGCTTCTCGAGAAGAGTTCTAACCCATGGAATCAGTTAGTTACTTATTGGAGAGGGTGGGTTTCCCCATGCACTGAGACCTGTATTGGTCCATTGTGCTTCCCTCTATGATTTCTACCAGTCTCTATATCCTACCGGTACTGGTGCTTACCATCAGTCCCGCCCAGCCAGCGAGACCGGCTCTACTAGCTGAGAGGTATCAGTAATGCTTCCCCCATCTACCAGAGGTATTAGAGACTGCTGTTGGGCGGGAAACGTCCGTTAATTTGGCTCAGTGACCTCCTTTGGAGATATGAGGTTCTTTTACGTGCCGTAAAGCTACGACACGGGACCCACGGCTTAAAGTCCCTCCCGGAGGACTTGTTCCCTGAATTTTTCCGCCCTTAAAAATTCGACGACCTCCGCCGGGTATTTGAACCCGCGTACTACGAGTCATGAGGTGGGAACGTTACCTCTAGACTACGGAGGCCGCTTATGGAATCAGTTAATCAAAGGATCCTGGAAACTGAGGATTTCCATTAAGCACATAAGTGCCAAATGTCGACATTTTCGACACCCACAAAGCTCGCTGTATCATATACAGTCGAGAGAAGCAGAAGAAAGCTTTTCGCTAAATTTAAATTTCTGTGGTAGTTCTCATTCACTTCATTTGCCCATGACAAAAAGCAGTTCTGAGAGTGGGATTTAAAGCTGATACTTCCATGTTTGTAGGATTCAGGATCAGTTCAGGTGCCTAGAGCAGCCACTGAGATGAAAAGTTAGTGGAGTAATAAGAGAAGAGGCCTAAGGCGTGAAGGAGAACAGCATCCCCTAAAATCAATACGTCACCCATTGCATGGGAACAACATTCACAGAATCTGCATAATTCTGTGTAACACTGTGACGTGCGTTTATACTCTGGAAAGAAGATGGCCGACTCATGCTCTTTTCTGAAAGACAAAAACAAAGTTTCTTCTGAGATAGACAATGTATTTTATTAACTTCTGTATCCCAACACAAAGTCCTTCATTGCAAATTATACCAAGATGTAAAGGTAAAGCTATTCCTGTAACTGGCCGTGGAGGTCCATAGGGTTGTGAGAGATTGAAGCTCACACATCTTCTAGACAGTCGACTAACAGATGGCAGTAAGGTTGCCAGCCTTACGCGCCGGTCGCCCTTTACCCCTAGGAAGATTCCTGGCACTCATTTCTGTTAGAGGTTGAATCGACCCCAGGGCCATAATGCTACTGGAAGGATTAGGTAAATTAAAAAATGTCCACCTAATCGGGACTCGAACCTGCCACCTTCCGGCTTGTAGCAAAGTGCCTCAACCAACTACGCCACCACGTGCACCATAACAAGGTATTTACTTGAAATTACCAGGATATAGAGAATAAATTTCAATAATATTTTTTATTCGGTCAAAATTTTTTCTAGATAATAGTGCACCAGGGAGGTAACAGATGGTAGAAGAGTAAGCTGAACTCAATTTGTGATAAATACCTCCATAGGTATACCCATTTTCTTACATACTTGCTACATATGTATAGTTCTCTATGCATATTGTATACATATATACATTATACGCATGCACACACACACACACACACACATATATATATAAATTTATATGTACATATGTAACATTCATACAAACATACACACATACTCTGAACTATTCACCTACAGGGCGCGTTTTATTACTGGAAAAATATATACAGATTATTGTAGCTGTTGTTTTTACATAGAAATTACATTACATTATTTAGAAATTGTTTTTGTGTATAAAGAGCTTTAGACACGTGTTAGTCTTGAAGTAATTACTTTTTTACATTTCACTAATATCCAGGAAGAATGTATTAATCCTCTATATTAAATCCAGTTTTCTCTCCGGATTGAAATGATGATTGTCCGATTTTTATTTACTGTGGGATCGAAAAATCCGAGAAACATGAAAATGGCCCTCTCGGAAACAAAGACATGGGTGGGAGGATAATACTAATATTAATTACACAGAAATGGAGTGTGGTGCCATGGAAGGGGCCCGATGACGTCAAAACAAAACTAAAAACAAAAATAGAATTTCACACACAGAACCACTATAACCAAAGAATTGCACTGGCTGCGGCCTACATCAACGTATCTTTAAAAACATTAGTTTTGACTTTTATAAGAACTTGATGACTCTCGTACTTTTATTCTTTTTATTTTTACACATTATTTCTAAAATGTCCAGTAATATGGTGCAACCTCTGATGATAGCCTTTTAAAACTGAGACATGTCGAGACCTATACAAGAAGCCATCACCTTAAGAAAATAAACTAGTTATGCTCAGATGGTAACTCACGTCTTAATGCAATTGGAATGTAACATTTGATCATCTCAGAGCAATGAAATTTAAAATTTCAGCTTTCTGAAATGTGACACCGTATAATCCGATAGATGGTAACCCTTCTGAATTGTTATGTCGCCTGGTCTGTTAGAACTTACAAGACTGCGCCACAGTTTATTCCCGAAGTCCTCAATCTTGAGGTTAATTGGTTATTTACTTTACTTGTTTCGATGCTGTTAGCTAGTTAAGTAGTCAGTTACTTATTTCATTAGTTGGATACTGTGGCCGACTATTGGCGTTTCTGTAGGCATTTCGGAAACCGCAATATTTCGATAGGTGTCACTATTACCTCAGCAAAACTTCCGTTATCAGGATAGACCAGGAAGCGACGCTTCCTGGATTGCTTCGTTCCGTGAGTTAAATTGACTTTCGAGACTTCATTTCCACCTGACGTCTCACTAGCTAGGCATTCTATGATACAGCAGTACAGAAGGACGTATCGATGTAGAGCTCTGGATATCACCATCGCGAACTCTGTGTTCTGGTACCTAAGGAAAAGAGGATAAACCTTTCACAACAAAACATTTCATGCTTAACTGATTTCATTACTACGCTTTTGTATTCTAAATTGCTTTGCAATATTACAAGTTTATATATGCCTGAAAAAATTGCTAACTTATGATGAAACAGGGGAGAAGTTTAAATTATGGAAATCATAATCATCATAATTTCTTTCTTTTAGCGCTACACCCCAAATTTGGGCCTTGGCCTACCTCAGTGAAACTCTCAGTTTCACTTCGGTTTACTAGATTTTAGACGTTCGGTAGGGCTCCTTGGGCAAGGCCTCTACCTGTACATAAACACGGAAAAACGCATATACACACAAACACCAAACATCCAATTCCTTGTGCGGGATTCGAACCCATGTTCCCGGCTTCCGAACGAGCGAAAACAATATATGCCTTAGACAGCGCGACTACCGTGAACGGAAATCATCATCATCATCATAATCACTTAGATATAAATTTAATAATCCCGTCTATTTAAAAAAATAAAATATGGGCATAAAGATCAATAATCCAATCTGGTTTTCACATTTGCTTTTCTAAAATCGTATTATCCTTTCTGGAAAACATCGGCCTCATAATTGATTTTTGTAGAAATTTTCGTCTAAAATATATGGTCATTCTGTATACAATTCATTCTATGTATCCGATTATCCTATTTTTTTTCCACTTAATCCCTCCTATCAAATTTAAACATTATGAACTGCAAAGTTTATCATTATGTTGCTTCCTGTATTCTCCAGTCACTGAATCCTGTTATAATATAACTGCGTCTAACCATTATGTATAGAGGCCTCCGTAGTCTAGAGGTAACGTTCCCACGTCATGACTCGTGGTACGCGGGTTCAAATACCCGGCGGAGGTCGTCGAATTTTTAAGGGCGGAAAAATTCAGGGAACAAGTCCTCCGAGACGGACTTTAAGCTGTGTGTCCCGTGTCGTAACTTTACGGCATGTAAGAAACCTCATATACCCAAAGGGGATCACTGAGCCAAATTCCAGGACTTTTCCCGCCAAACAACAGTCTTTAAGGCCTCTGATAGATGGGGGAAGCATTACAGATACCGCTAAGCAAGTGGCCGAACTCGCTTGCTCGGCGGGACTGATGGTACGCACCATTTATCGGTAGGGTATGAAGACTGGTAGAATATCATAGAGGGAAGCACAATGGACCAATACTGGTCTAAGTGCATGGGGAAACCCACCCTCTCTAAATAACTAACTAACCATTATGTATCCTAGTAATCACGCATACTTTGTTGTTGTTGTTGTTGTTAGCAGCCCTTTCTTCTTTCAAAACATTTCGAACTAACACTAGCATTACGCTATGAAGACGTATGGGGGAGTGGGTGTCTACGTCCACGTTTTCTTCACCTCGGCACTAGCTGAAGGTGAGTGTCCAGCTTCGCACTCCGGCCGCTTTACTCCCGGGAAAGTTCCCCCTGTACTTAGTGGATGGGAGTTTGGGGTACCCCAGAGCCGGTCTGGACTACACGGAGAAGAGAACATTCTTGACCCTACCGCGACTAGAACTTCAACCCCTCTGTCGTCCAGCCCGTAGCCAGTCGCCATGCCGACTGCGCTGTCCAGGCTCCGTATATCCCAAATAGCGCTTTATATTGTCGGTATTATTCCCTTTGTATTTCGGTGTATAACAACTGAAATATGAGTTATTTTGTGAGCGGAATAGCCGTTGATATTCACGTACTTATACTCCCTTGAGACATATAATTTCTTTAGCCAGTAGTTCAAATGAACATAATTGGTAAATATTCTTGAACATTCTTGCTAAAACATTAACTTATATCATAATAGAAAATTTGCAGAAACACAATTGCGTCTCAGAGTTTTACAGATATGATTCACAAGGTCATACAAAGTCATGAGAATTTTAAACAACTCCCATTTTATAAGGAAAAATATGTATTTGGTATACTTTGCTCCTGCTTCTTTCTGTTGGCCCCCAGATACATTTATCTTCTGTCTACAACCTGCCAAACTTATCTATAATGTGTATTTTTGCCAACAGTTTTACACAGTGTGTCTGCTTTTACCGGTTCTCGCGATCACTTCGCTTGCAGATTTCTTATATTTTTTCTTCTACCCTGAAGATGGAGGCGATATGTTCCTCCGAAACGTCGGTTAACACCACATATACACGGTGCCAAATTCCAGAAGACTGCTTTCTTCATAGTCACCGCCGTGAAAGCCTCAAATCTTACATTGCATAGATTTACTCACGTTTGGATTTGCTATAGACAAATCTATCGCATATGAGTCCTACAGGAATTTTGCAAGGGTGCGTGGCTTAACGCTTTCAGACACTTTGCTGTTATCGAGGGCAAAAGAATATTAACCTCGTGACCGAATATAACATAAGGCTGTCTTGAGAGGAAGTGTGTAAACAGTCAGGAATTAATTACAGATGAAAACACATACACAGTTTGAATTAAAACACATTTTGATTCTCACACATTATCCGCCAATATGTATGGCTTGGAAAATTATAAAATATTTCAGGCATCACAGAACTGTTTCCTCAAAAGTTGGTTATATTATCTTTTTCTGGACTGCACCTATAAAGAACAGGAATTCTTATTCTTTATACGAAATGTAATTTTCTTGGTAATAAGAGATGAAGGACCCGTTTAAGTTAAACGCGAAATCTGGTATAACATATACTTTTTTCTCCCATCTTTTAGAATCTGAAAATATTGTAAATATGTTTTAAGCATCCTTTGGAAGAAATCAAGAAATAAAATTATTTATTTATTTCATTGGCGCTACAGCCCTCATGTGGGCCCAGGCGTACCTCCATGAAACTATCCGTTTCACTTCGGTTTTACTAGGTCTTAGACATATGGTAGGACTCCTTGGGCGGGTGATCAGCTCGTGGCAAGGCCTCTACCTGTATATAAACACAGAAAAAGGCACACAAACATCCATGTCCTGAGTGGGATTCAAACCACGATCCCGGCTTCCGAACAAGCGAAGACAGTGCATGCCTTAGACAGCTCGGCTAACATGACCGGCAAAATTATTTATTTACTGCTAAAAAACCGCGGATAATAGCAGCCTTTATTAGCCCTCTACTTTTTCAGACGGACATATAATATAGAAAACAGAATCTTTGTTCAGATATTCTTCAGCGTTTTATTTCTAGAAATATATTAAATCAATAATTTTCTTAATTCTCTGTCATAGTGGGTGAATCTGAATATATTTATTTCATTAAATTTATTTTCTCTGTGTTCTTTTTTTCTCCTTCACACAATTTAGAAGATGAACTACTCTTTCATATAACTTTGAGCACCTTGTGATATGTATAAGAATTTCTGACACAAATTTTCGCATTCCAGGAAAGAAATTTTCAGAGGGACCAGTCACAACAAAGCATTTCGTTCACTTGCCCTTAATAAAGCATTTAGGCCGGAAATCATGAACATTCTGTGCACACAGATTGTCTTTTACAAATCTTCACACAATACGAAAGACCAAGTTCGTAAATTCAGCCTTCTCAATATTATAAATGTCATGCACTGAATTTAAGTGTACTTACTATTTTTCGATGTATCGCCGTTATACTCTGATGGTAAACTGAGCTGTGTATGTCTATTTTAGAAGACAATTAAACGTGGGCGCTAGGAAATTATAATGTTCTATCACTACTCCAGATGCAAGCTACAGATGATTGGCTCACACCCGACGGTTTCAAAGTTTCAATGTTCTACGAGTGGGGAACTCGCTACTGTAACATTCATACGTCATGTTGTAGTAATTTACCAAGCATCAAGCTAGAATTGTAGAATGTTTGCTTTCCTCAACAAGTTCAGTTAGAATGGATGTTAGTTTACTCAGTCTTGAAGTGGTGTACAGCTCGCTCTATGAACGGTGGCAGAATATAACAACACAGAAACAAGATGACCGCAGCGGATGTCCTGTATTGGGCCTCATGCAGTTCAGTACAACATATCAACTATTTACTATGAAGAAAGCAGTCTTCTGGGATGTGGCACCGTGTAGATGTGGTGTTAACCGACGTTTCGGAGGAACATATCGCTTCCATCTTCAGGGTAGAAGGGAAAATAAGAGATCCGCAAGCGAAGAGACCGTGAGAATCGGTACAAGCTTGTACCGGTTCTCACATTCCTCCGAAACGTCGGTTAACACCACATCTACACGGTGCCACATCCCAGAAGATTGCTTTCTTCATAGTCACCGTCGTGAAAACCTCAAATCTTACAAATTATTTACTAATTCACTTAGTCATGGAGCTGAGCCCTTCTTAAGAAGCTGCCAATTGGGCAGCTATTCAAGAACTTCTCTGCATTATATGGGACCCAAATGTTCGTTACTGTGTTCACAAGAGCACTCCACTGGTCCCTATCCCAAGCCAGATGAATCCAGTCAACACCACCACATAACTATTTACTAATTTTATTTTTCCTTGGCACTACAGCCCCAGTGGGCCTAGGCCTACCTCCATGAACTTCTCCGTTCACTTCGGTTTTTCTAGATCTTACACATTCGGTAGAACTCCTTGGGCGGGTGATCAGCTCGTCGCAAGGCAAACACAGAAAAACGCACAGACACAAACTAAACATCCATGCCCTGGGTGGGATTCGAAACCACGATCCCGGTTTCCAAGCGAGCGAAGACAGTACATGCCTTAGACCGCTCGGCTACCGTGGCCGGCGTATTTACTAATTACAAATGTTAATACTAATACTGTCTCACTTCTTATGCTCGGACTCCGAAATGTTCTTTCTATGAATCTGTATTTCGGGTACTATATTCAGTTCTACATATACGCACACTGCCTATTACATTCATTGTTGAATAATCCTGGCGATTTCCTTCGTCAAATTTTAGAATAAAAATTGCAACTTTTGCCGTAATTAGTAATAACAACAGTGACACACTTAATGAAGGTTCCATATTTTCGATGAGTCTTAATTTTGAAATTAATATAATGAACCTATTAATTTATAATTATTTACTAACAGTGTAATAATTTCATCAATGTTATAGTTATTATAGACCGCCTCTGTGGCCTAGTGATCAGAGTTGCTGCCTACAGACCCAGAGGTCCCGGGTTCGATTCCCGGCGCTACGGGTTTTCTGAGGAGTAGTGAGTCTGGAAAAGGGTCCACTCGTCCTTGTGACGATAATTGAGGAGCTATTTCAAGGAAACAGTGGTTCCGGTCTAGAAAACAGAGATTAACGACCGTGGGGATTCGTTGTGCTGACTACACGACATCCTCTATCCGCTAAAAGGTGGCACTAACTACGCCGACAAGCGGCTGTCGCTCGGTTGGTATGGTTCGTTTACGGACTACAGACCACGGAGTTTGTTTTGTATAGTTATTATAACTGTTGTAATTATTATGATTATTTATTTTGTCAGTGCCTCCATTTCACCCCTTTCATGGCAAATAATATGGGAAATATTATCAGAGGGATGTGTTATCGGTCTCTTTTCCTGCCACATGCTTTTCATGCAAACAACGCCATAACCTCTCTAACAGTCCTCGGAGATGTGATGCTTCAGGTTTTATAACGAGCTGACTGTGGAAAGTACTGTCTTCTGCTGTACTGTACTGTAATTCTCTTCGTCTATGTACACCACGCCACCTGTTATCAACATAATTTCCTTTATATCCCCTTTACTAAATCACAAAAAAGCTGCATGTTCATACCTGAAGGGGCAGCTTTGAACATCACACGGAAACATAATGGAAAATAATAACCTACAAGAAGCTTAAGTTCCCCCTTGCAGGCCTGTTCATTCACCGTTACTCATTGAAGCCTAAGCATCACTGTTAATCCAGCTTTGAACAGTACATACACGGAAGCAATTTACAGCATCTTTTTCAGGTTTTCATTGAAGAAAATTGTTGTGGTTGGTTTCTCGACATCATCCCCCGTTGTTTGGCTTGTCAGGTTCGTTCCCCCCACAGATCCCTTCACCAATATTGATACAATTAGATTCTTATAGCACAACTTAATAACCGTGATGGGGAACACTGCATAGTGAGGAGCTTCATAACTTGTACTCTTCTCCAAGTATAATTAGAATGATCAAGTCAAGGAGGATGAGGTGGGCAGGTCATGTAGCACGAATGGGGGGGAAGCGAAAGCCATAAAGAAAGGTAACACTGGGAAGAGCAAGGCGTAGGTAGGTGGACAATATTAAAAGGAATCTTAGAGAGACAGAATGGGATGGTATGGCTTGAATAGATTTGGTTCAGGATAGGGACCAGTGGAGGGCTCTTGTGAACACGGCGATGAACCTTCGGGTTCCATAAAATGCTGGGAATTTCTTGAGTAGCAGCACAATTAGCAGCTCCTCAAGGAGGGCTCAGCTCCAGTAGTGAGTGAACTTACATAACCACGAATCAGTGACTAACTCTATGGAGAAGAAGGCTTCTTGAGAAGTTAATAGCTCAGTTGGTAAAAAAATATAAAACCTTTCATTAAACCCGAAAGCCGGTTGCCTTATTCGCAAGAACCAGCCACTGGACTTTATTCTGAGAGAAATCAGACCACTTGACACCCTCACGCCCTAAATCTTAAAGATTAATTTTAATATTATACTCCCATTTACACCCAAGTCTCCCGTATGTACTCTCTCCGTCAGGTTGTCCGATTAAAATAGCACACGCTTTTTGTCCTTACCATTAATTTCTGCACATCCCGTTCATATTGCAGCGTGTAGAACCGTTGCTGAGTAGCGACCTCGAAACCAACAGCGGAACATCATTAGCTACTAAGCAATCGAATCTTAATAAACAAGTATACGTAGCCGCTACTGGGTACCGCATTCTGAATCAAACACGTTCCCACGGAAACGATTAGAGTACAAAAATAAACGGTGTTTTCTATGGAGTCCGTTGCTAGATGTTATAACAGACAATTTCAGAAGTTAGTCAGTTGTAAGGGAGTCTGTGAAGAGAAGGCTTTGTCGGTGTAGTTGAAGAATCCCTACGGTTAGAAGCCGTTACCAGGGAACGACTGGTGAAGACACAGCAGACTGAAAAGTTTTAACATACGAGTATGCTGCAGTGATTTGCAAAGTGTGGAAATTAGCAATAGTGTCAAAATTATTTGTATTTACTGCTTGTAAGTAGTCAATAATGCTTATATCATCCAAACCCCTTCGAGAGTCACTCTGACACGTGACAGTATCATCCTCCATTCTCTCAATAGTTCTAAAAATGCTGTAGTTAATGAAATGTAGAATTCATGAAATTCTTAGCTTTGAAAAGTTCTCCAGCCTCAAATCACTTTCTCTGTCTTAGATTAACTCCTGATTGGGGGGGGGTAAGAAACCGAGTTTAACAAACAAACAGAAATTCCATGGTTTTAGTTCGCAAGCGAATTATGCCGACCGAGCGACCGCCACTTGTCAGCGAAGTTAGTGCCAAATTTAGCGGATAGAGGGTATCGCGTGGTCATCGCAACGGATCCCCACGGCACGGCAGTTAATTTCGGTTTTCTAGACCGGAACCGCTATTTCCTTGAAATAGTTCCTCAATTATCACCACGAAGCTGAGTGGACCTCGTTCCAGACCCACTATTTCTCAGAAAAACAATCTGGTAGCGCCGGGAATCGAACCCGGACCTCTAGATCTGTAGCCAGGAACTCTGTTCACTAGACCACGGAGGATGAGAAGTAAAGGTGCAGACTGTATATCCAGCTTTCATAATATACGTAATGTGGACGCAGGCCCAGTGATATTTTGCACACGTAGCGCGGATCTTACTGAGTAGTCCAACAAGCCACGTATTCTATAGGCTTAGTTAGTTAGTTAGTTAGTTAGTTAGTTAGTTATTTAGAGAGGGTGGGTTTCCCCATGCACCGCGACCAGTTTGATCTATTGTGCTTCCCTCTATGATATTCTACCAGTCTCTATACCCTACCGATAATTGGTGCGTACCATCAGTCCCGCCGAGCAAGCGAGTTCGGCCACTTGCTTAGCGGTGTCTATAATGCTTCCCCCATCTATCAGAGGCCTTACAGACTGTAGTTGGGCGGGAAACGTCCTGGAATTTGGCTCAGTGATCCCATTTGGGGATATGAGGTTCTTTTACGTGCCGTAAAGTTACGACACGGGACACACAGCTTAAAGTCCCTCCCGGAGGACTTGATCCCCTCAAAAATTCGACGACCTCCGCCGGGTATTTGAACCCGCGTATTACGAGTCATGAAGTGGGAACGTTACCTCTAGACTACGGAGGCCGCTTTATATAGGCTTACTCTTCCTTCTGGATGATTATGGACTGTCTATAACATGGCGGATGACGTAACAAAGCAACACTTGTCCCGTTTTTACTGTCGGCTTGTCCAGCCATACTATGCAGAGTTCAAATTACATCTTAATAATATTCAGTCAGGAATTTTAACAGAACAATGACTGATGTTTAGATGTATTAAGTCACATGTTACAGTACGGATGGCAGTCCTTAAACCATGCGTCATGCTCATAAGAAGTGCCACCAAGTGTGTGTAATTCATCGGAGTACTACAAATGTAAGAGTGGTTGGAAATTGTCCTGTAAATAGTGGTTGAAGGACAAAATAGTTATAGACGAAAATATTAAGTTTAAGCAGACATTAGTACAAGACACAAGATGGCAAATAATGTAATAGCTTAGCGTAAATAACGAACCTGAAGATGACACTATGTTGCCGAAACATGTAGTAAGAAGCGACATATGGAATTGGGTGCACTACAAGAGGGCCATTACATACGTATCATTGATGAAAATCAGTGCAACAGGATGCTAAAATACAACATTATGAATAGAACAAGAATGAATATTTTATGTTTCAATTATATTATTTTTTACTTCTACTCCGTGAAGTGGGACTGAAATTAAACGGGACACATCAGCCGTTGGTCTATGCCGATGGTGTGAATCTACTGGGTGATAATATAACCATAAGGAAAAATACACAAACTTTAATTGACGCAAGTAAAGAGGTTGGCCTGGAAGTAAACACAGAAAAGACTAAGTACATGTTGCTGCCTCGTCACCAAAATGCAAGGTAAAATCATGAAATGAAGATAGGAAACAGATGTTTTGAAAATGTGGCACAGTTCAGATATTTGGGGACGACGATAACAAATCAAAACCTGATTCAGGAGGAAATTAAGATGAGATTGAACTCGGGTAATGCTTGCTACCATTCAGTCCAGAACCTTTTGTCTTCTCGTCTGCTGTTCAAAAACATAAAAATTAGAATTTAAAAAACTATAATTTTGCCTGTGGTTCTGTATGGGTGTGAAACCTGGTCTCTGAATTTAAGGGAAGAACATAGACTGAGGGTGTTTGGGAACAGGGTGTTGAGGAGAATATTTGGAACGAAGAGGGATGAAGTGACAGGAAGTTGGAGAAAACTTCATAATGAGGAGCTTCATAACTTGTACTCTTCTCCAAGTATAATTAGAATGATCAAGTCAAGGAGGATGAGGTGGGAAGGGCATGTAGCACAAATTGGGGAGAAGAGGAATACATATAGGATATTGGTGGGAAAGCCAGAAGGAAGGAGACCACTGGAAAGACCAAGGTGTAGATGGGCCGACATGGATCTTAGAGATATAGGATGGGTTGATATGGATTAGATTGGTCTAGCTTAGGATGGGGACCAGTGGAGGGCTCTTGTGAACACGGTAATGAACCTGCGGGTTCCATAAAATGCTGGGAAATTTTTGAGTAGCTGCAGAATTGGCTTCTCAAGAAGGGCTCAGCTCCACGAGTAAATATTCTTCTCCGTGAATTTAGTTGGTTAGTTGTGTGCCCAAATGACATTGTTGAACCAGGTTTTCCACCTGCAACTCCGGTTTCTCTAGCTGCTTGTTCATCCACTTTAGAGTCAACGTAGACCGACATATGGCTGAGATACAGTTTCGGACAATTACCCGCAACGTGATAATTAAATCTGTTGTTAGCGATAGAGGACAGAGCACCGGTTCAGACGGCTAGCTGTTCTCTGTCAAACTACCATCTACAGCAATAGAGACGCACTGAGCCTGGAGCACTGAGAGACGTTGCGTAGATGTTTCTTGAATAATTACATCGCTCCTATGGGACTGGATTCACAGGGCCATGGCAACACGAAAGCAATTTATGTAAGTAAACACATGCTTTTATCATAGCACAGCCCGCTACGAAGCTAAACGTGGCACTGTCAGTGAGCAGATGAAAATAAAGAATACAGTGAAGCTCTTCCGTTTGAAGTAATAGAGATTCGAGATTGAAGTGTCAAATATCTGTACAAAATTGATCAACATATTCCGGGGAGAAGATATTTTCTTTATAAAATTAGTGCAAATAAGTAAAGCAGAAAGTTCACCAACTCAACGTATATAAGTTCTACTTGTAATATGTACAAAGTAAGAAAGTAGCCTTTGCGGACCTTGAAGTTTATAGCTTATTAAGCAGACCTGAAAGCACATATTTTATACTCATGTAATAACAGGTTGTTTTTCTAACAATGTGTTGCATGAATTCTATTCACGCGTTAAATTATATGTTAATTTTTGTTGCGTGAAAATACTACAAATATGAAGGAAAAATTACATTTTAATATCAGTCAGTCATCTCGACCGCCTCTATGGTCTAGTGATCAGAGTTCCTGGCTACAGATCCAGTGGACCTGGGTTCGATTCCCGGCGCTACCAGATTTTCTGAGAAGTAGTGGGTCTGGAACGGGGTCCACTCAGTCTCGTGAGGATAATTGAGGAGCTATTTCAAGGAAATAGCGGATCCATTCTAGAAACCCGAAATTAACGGCCATGGGGATTCGTTGCTCCGACCACGCGGCACCCTCTATCCGCTAAAGTTGGCACTAACTACACCAGCAAGCGGCGGTCGCTCGGTCGGTATAGTTCACTTGCGGGCTACAGGCCACGAAGTGTGTTTTTTGTTTTCTTCAGCCATCTCCACTTTTGTGACTTTCGGAAAATTTTCAGATGTCTTAAAAATAACAAATACGTAATGATATACAAAAGTTATAAACCAATTATGCGACATATTTAGTAAGGCATGGAACCATAAATATCAATGAACTGTGTTGTTAATGAAGTTAAGCTTTCAGCAGTAAATAAATTGATTTACAAGACCTACTTACCATTTGGCCTATGTGATGACAGAAATACCGCCAAAGTCGGTGCAATGCTTTCACACTATTACACGAACTTAAATTAACCTTCAAGGATTGCTGGCTGGAGCTGGTAGGAAAGAGATTAAAATTCGAATATTCTCTTACAGATTGACGTCACTAATAATGCTGGCATCCAAGATGATAGGGTGTGGCATCTGTCAAATGGATGACTCCGAGTTGCTCGTCTTATCTCGAAAAGTTCGATATGCCTTGTTTCCAGATGCGAGCACCATGGGGGTTTGTACCTCTACATGTAATGAGACACGGTATTTGACTAACTACTGGGTCACCTGATCATCTGTGTGTGCTATGTCATTTCCATATACTTAACAGAAGCCGTAGTCATGTGCTCGCAATTGACATCTGAGGGATACAATGCAACTTAATTCCCTGTTCTAACTCAGAAAAAGAAAAAAATAAATGAAAGAGATAAAGAAAAAGATAAAAGAGAGTGGAGGATGAAGAAACGTAATAAATGATTCTCCACTGAATTTAAATTTGCTTTATATTACATGAATATTCATATCATTGCTCAAGAAAGATAATATTTTCAAATCTTTAACAGTTTCTTTGTAACAGGATTATATTTAAAACATTATGTCTTCCTTTGACAGTATGTTTAGTAGCTAATATAAGTAGATCGAACGCTTTATCACGTGCTCCTTAATAAGATAGATTTTTAAAGTGGGGATGTATTTAACACAAAATAACGTCGAACTGTACCCATGTTGTCGGCTGTCCGCACATGTTTATGTAATATATTCTTAACTATTTTTCTATATATAGAGAAATTGCTATTGATATAGGCTCTGTAGACTTATGTTTGGTAGGTGCTTGTTTCGAATCTCGGCTGGGTCACCGACTATCCTTAGGGTTTTTTCTTGGATCTCCTCAGGTGCTTAAGCAAATTAGGTATAATGCCTCGCTTATGTCACGGGCGGGGTCGGATACCTCCACCGTAGCACTGAGAGTCGTAGGAAGCGACGAAATGGGGAGTCTCAAATCTGAGACAGTAAAATAAGGGACTCAGACCCTAGAAAGACTGCACTGGCAAGGGCCAGCAGCATATAAAAAAGGCAGACCCGTCCTCTCGTCAGAGAGGGCGCCCCATAAGAACAAGACCGTAAATGCCAAACAGTAACAAATATCTCGTCATGAGCCCCACATGGGGCTCGACACGAAGACTTACTGACTGACTGACCGTCAGTCGCATAGTGACTTGGACGTGGACTGCTTTATTTCAAATTCTTTCCACTTCATTATTCATTGTAAACTTCCGGTCCTGTCTAGTCTACAATGAAAGCGTCCTAAAGTAATCCACTTACTTAAGGAATTATTTAAATGTAGAAAAATTCACATTTCATGAAAAGCGTTACGTTTAGAGTGTAAAATTAATATTAAACAAATGTAACGGAATATTCATCCACCATCAAGGAAAACCACGCAATACTAGGCCATACTGAACAACAACCACCTCATATACAACACAACAGTTCAAAGCAATAACAAGACTTTTTATTCCTGGACAGAATCCACTCTAAAATTTAAGAGACTACTGATTATTACCAACATAAAATATAAATTAAGGAGTATAAATATCCAATTAATTTAAACAAAATTTAGCAATATTTTAAACTCGATTTTAACCCGTTCTTAATAGCATTTTAGATTAAGAAACTAAAACCAAAACAACGCAACAACTGCATATAGTATAATCAACCTGATTATGACCTTATATGATCACAACATACTGCATGAGAAACAGCTGTAATACGTGACAAGATAGCACACCACCAGCCTACAAACACGGCAAAAATTCATATCTCCAAGACGCTCTGCGAATTAAATCCTTAATCAGTGCAACATGATGCTGAAATGAAACATGAAAAATCTGTGGAACTGTAAAGCTTTGTTTCAGTAAATTAGGTACTGTTACATTTTCGTTTATCTTGTAAATAAATGNAATAGTATAGATTTTCAGAGGATGATAATAATAATTCATTTTGTTTAATAAATTTAAACATTTACATCTTTCCGACCTATCTCTTATGTAGTGTAAGATTACATTTTGATCATTTTCTAAATTACAGTTGTATCTGGCCGTTGCTGTGCCCCTTGAAGATGCCAGTTACAGCGTTTCGTTATCCTGGAACTTCGAAGCTAATTACCAGCTCCCATCCAACTACACAGAACTAATACTTCCGTTTGTACTGGCCGGTGCTTCACGAAGCGAGCGACAATTCAGCAGGCGTAACGCCTATCAAATGGTAGAGAAAAGATTTCGAAGGTTCGTAGCTCGAAAGTCGTAAGAAATTGGTATTTATAAACCAATTAAAATTCATGGACTGGCTTTATGCAATACGGCCCAGTATAGCGTATCCCTAAGTACTTAATCTCATCGATGAATCAAAAAGTTTTCTTAGCAACGCTTGTGAAGCCTGTTCGGAGTCAGATCCTTGAAGGCTTTGTGAAAGTTTTCAGACGTTCTTCAAATAGAGTTATGTAATATACAGTGCAGTACACATGTGATATTCTCCCTGAATTTCAAAGATTTTGATTGTACGGAATGACCAGAAGAACTCTATTTTTGTAGTTCCCATAAGTAGACACGTTTTGAAGGCTTCAGATCTGTTCCTCCAGAAACGGGGTGCAGCATGTTGAAGGTTGGCCCGGATGTAAGGTCCCCTGGTGTGGCCTCTTCTGTTATGACTAAATAATATAGTGCATGATAAATGTCCTTAAGCTATACATCGTTTGCGCTGTAAGGGGTCACGTAAACCAAGGGCAGGCACAAGGAAATTGTCTCTGATATTTTAAAATTCGTGTCAAGCGCATGTGCACTCACAGCGTTGCAGCCATCTGTTGAGCATCCTTGTACTGCGTCGTAATGAATTTCCCCACAGAATCGATTAGAATACCGTCTCAAACTAAAAACTTCTCGGTACAAGTATTCAATCACATTTTTAATTACTCGAGAGTGATACATTTCGAATCATATATAAGCCAAATTTAAAATAATGGGACACTTTTCAACGTGATACTTGTTAGGAATCCGAAAATGCTTTCTTCCGAATTTTAATGCCATAAATTCTCAGTAGAAAGCTCGGCATTTCGGAGGAATATATCTCCTCCATCTTCAGGTTGAAAGTTAAGCCGAACAAGGAACAAAACAAGAAGCAGGCTCGGCCTGACGCCTGATTTTGCTTTTTTTTTCTGGTTTGGCTAACTATTCGACCCTGAATATGGAGGCTATGTGCCCCTTCGAAACATCTGGCTCTCTCCGGACCACACTGCGTTACAACTCAGTCACAGCTATGAGAACCTCAGTTACAATTAGGGCCTAACTCAGCTGTCAAGTTATTATCCAAATCTTCCTAAATCAGTGATGTAACTAATGTAGTAGTAGTAGTAGTAGTAGTAGTGATAGCAGTAGCAGCAGTAATAGCAGTAGTAGTGCCGGTGGTAGTAGCAGTGATGGCAGTAGCAGCGGCAGTAGTAGTAGTGCCGGTGGTAGTAGTAGTGATAGCAGTAGCAGCAGTAATAGCAGTAGTAGTGCCGGTGGTAGTAGCAGTGATGGCAGTAGCAGCGGCAGTAGTAGTAGTGCCGGTGGTAGTAGTAGTGATAGCAGTAGCAGCAGTAATAGCAGTAGTAGTGCCGGTGGTAGTAGTAGTGATGGCAGTAGCAGCGGCAGTAGTGGTAGTGCCACTGGTAATAGTAGTGATAACAGTAGCAGCAGTAATAGCAGTAGTAGTGCCGGTGGTAATAGTAGTGATGGCAGTAGTAGTAGTAGTCACAGTTGTGTCTGTGGTGGTAGTAGTAACAGTTGTGTCTGTGGTAGTAGTAGTATGTAGAAGTAGGAATAATTAATAGGAAAAGGCAGTACAAATTATCTGTTATGTTATCGGCTATCATATTCCTTCAATAACTCCTTATTTTGGTTGGCTCTTTCAAAAGCGTATACAACAGACAATAACCTTGAGCTAATATTCAATTTGTAACATAAAAATATATACCCCTGAAAGTGACATTGTAAATACCGAAACATGCCGGGTAAACATCCACCCTAAATGTGTTGTAATTGACAGTATATGATAAATTATAATAAATAACCTTTTAGATTACAAAGGTAAGCGACACAACCTTTCTATGTACTTTATAATATAGTATAATAGAGTATAATCTAATAGAGTTATAGCATAGTATAATACAAAAATATCTGTTGTATCTATTACCGTGATTACTCGTACTTTCGGATTGTGTAATTTAGTTTAGTATTTCCAGAATAATCTCTTTGTCACACGGTTAGATCAGCGGCTGTGGAAGTTCGCGAGAACTTGTAGACTTCAATAAGGCAGAGATAAATGTTCACTACATCTCTGTTTTTGTACTAAACAGCATATGGCTGCTCCATTACCAGTTTCCCTTCCTTCAAGATGCTACACGTAAACAACATTTAAATAGCCCGCAACAGCAGAACTTGCAGTTGTTTAGCAAATTGAACGTAAATTTAATTGACATCATATGAATCGACTTCGATATATTTGTAAATTACTTGTATGCCATCAGTTTTACTTAGCAAATATTTATCACTCTCTATGTATGTAATACAAGTGCTTTACTAAGTCCAACCAAGATCAGTGTATGTGCAAATAAAGTCTGGTTTTTACTCGCCATTAAAGATGTAAATTGTTCACAATGTGCGCCATTCTCAGTATATTTACGTCAGCTTTTCTAAACTATTTTCTACGGGAAAATAAAAAGAAAGGAGGTGCCATCATGGAAATATGCTTTTCTTCCTGTCTGTACAGTTTGCTATACAGAGCAATAGATCCAGCCCGCTCTTCTCCACAGTAAAGTGCACTTATTTTTATTTCGTAGTTACGGTTTGAAAGGCAGGGAGTGTCTCCTGAGAACTATCTGCGAAGCAGCCGAAAGTCCATTACGTCATAACGGACTTATGGGTGATATTCTGCACATAATTTTCACGTGAGTATCATTCTATAATTAAGTTATTTATAAGAACATTGTACCAATATGCAACACCGGCTCCGAAGTTCAGACTTTACTTGTCTCATATAATGTATGAGATTATGTACGCGGTAGCGTAGTTGGTTGAGGAACTAGGCTACAAGCCGGAAGTTCGCGGGATCGAATCCCGATGAGATTATTGGATTTTTTTTTCAATTTACTTAAATCTTCCAGCCGCATTATGGCCCTGGTGTCGACTCAGCCTCTAACAGAAATGAGTACCAGGAATATTCTTGGGGGTAAAGGGCGGCCGGCGTGAAAGGCTGACAGCCTTACTGCCATCTATGAGCCGATTTTCTAGAAAATGTGGGAACCTCAACATCTCACAACCTTATGGGCTTCCACGGCCTGTTACAGGGGTACCTTTACTTACTTACTTACTTACTTACTTACTTACTTACTTACTTACTTAGTTGTTTGTGTCGCTGTGGTATATTAGTTTATTCATATATTATTATTTGTCTTTTGTCTCAACACTTTGGTAATGTTTTGGTCTCATACTTCCATTTTATTTCTGCGTACTACACACCTTTCTTCTCATTTCTTTACAAATGTACGTCCAGAGTTTCCTAAATCTTGTTAACTAGGTTTCGATCAATAAGTTCCACACACAGCTGCCTTGTTAGCTCGTTGTTGTGGAAGTTCGTTTACTTCACACGTGTTTGTTGCTAGAAACTGCAGATGCTCATCCATCTTAAGAGCTGTGAAAACTGCATATAAGGGCATGACACTTGTTCTGGAATATTCCTTAAGCGTCTGCTTTGTATTGTCAGGAGTTTCGGGTGGATTTTAAATCTGTGTGTACAAGGTCCAGACTTCTCATACGCTTTAATGCATATTAGTATACCTGGAGTTTGATGATGGGTGAGATATTACTAGGTATCCCAGGAAATAGTCCGGATGAAAGGTATCTAAAATAAAAAATGTATATTGTAATGCCGTACAATTTCGGCAAGGGTTTTTGTAACTTTATGTATTAAGTTATCTTGGGTTCACAGTAGAGAAGTTAGACGACGGGTAATGATTGGAGTAGAATGCGGAAGGGCAATGTCAGTAAGAAACTGTCGCATTGCTTAGACCGCTGATCCACGTGGAAGAGACTGCAAGCTGCTGTACGGCCAAAGCGCACAGAGTGCCGACTCGGCGAGACGGCCTGAGGAGATCCAACCCTCTTTACCCAGCTGACCAACGAGAGACGGACCTTTGGGGGAAAATTCGCTCTAGTGAAGGGGCGGAGCTTACCCCAAAGACAGGAGTCAGCAAGGGGAAGGTTATAAATTTGCTAACACAACTTGAGGAGCTATCTTTTCCGATCAAATAATCAATCTTTTGATCATCTGTCGGCTATCTATATCAAATCTATCGATCAAGGTAACTGAGTGTACAATGTTAAGTGAGTAGCCAGCCAGAGCCATGGTCGTGCCAGACCAAGTGAGGGAACACCATCAGCTTCCTACACCAAGTAAGTGGAACTGTTCATATCAGTCATGGATATACAGTGAGATATTATTAAAGTGTCATGTTACAGTGTTAGGGCAGAGAGCGTAAGCCCTGAGTGGGGAAGTAGGAATTACCTCGAGAGCTAGGATGGTGAACCCAAGTATGTGTATATCTGAATTACAATGTGTACGTAACCGACAACTGTCGGCTACGAAAGTGTGATGTACATAAGTGTATATAGAGTAGACGAAAGTAGACCAAGTAAGGAGGATGCGTGTGTTAATGACTTACCCCACAGTCACACTCTCTATGTCCCCGATCTCCCGTACATCTCCTGTTAGAGATATTGTGAACTCACAGCCAAGAGGTAGCTAACGAGACAAGTACCAAGTGCTGAGCCTTACAACTGGCCATTCCCCAAGGGCGCAACGGCATGGATGGAGGAAGAGGTGGAGAGATTCCTCCACGCCCCCCTTCGCACCATAACATAGTGTGACATGTTGACCCCCACCTCCCCAGCGGTACGTGGCGATAACGTAACGCTCGCGTTACTACGGTAATAGGCGAGTTCCCGCCCCGCCACTCCCCTCCGCGGTGACGTCACCGAGGGATATCGCGGTCGCTAGGCAACGCGAATCAACAGCGGCGACGTTACGATAGTAACAGCGGTTACCTCCGCTAGCGTTACATAGCAACACAGCGCCAGGCAAAAAGGGTGCCTATTACGTGGCCGTTTTCCCGTACTGTCCGATCGAGGCTACATACGGAGCAGCGAAGGCTATTCACAGTCAGTTCTAGTGTGGCTACCGCAGAGTTGTACTGAGTCAGTCAGCGAGTCCTGGACCTATCGTCGAGTTAGCCAGCAACCAGTCAGTTGTATTGTGGCATTTGGAGTGTACTATTTGTGATACTGCAGATAGCAGTAATCGTCAGATTGTAATTTGGGTGATTGTGAGAGCGGATGTGAAATAAAATTCGCTACATCGAATACATCGAGAAGTTATTTGTCGCGATATACGCCCGATACGCGACAATATGGTGGCAGCGGTGGGATACCTCCACGCCCCCTGTCACCACGGCGTAACATATATCTCGGAAACTAATTGTCATACACGTATCCAGTTTATGTCATCAGACAGTTTTTATTTCATACCCGGCTTACGCGCATGCGCCGCCACATTTCTGGTAACATGTTATGAATCACCTGGACAGAGAGATGGCTGGGATATGAATTGGCAGAGGTGGACCAATCGCTTGACCTCCTAGATCGCCCGATTTAACCCCAGTGGATTTTTTCTTGTGGGGTTATGTCTACCAGGTTAAGATCAACGTGCTGCAACACCTGAAAGCCCGCACAAGGTACGCTGTGGCTACGGTAACACCAAACTTGCTTCAAGTATGAATATTTGCCGTGCCAAGGGAGCCCACATTTAAATTTACTGAGAAAGTTATATATGCAGAAAATACTTCGGTAGTTTCCCTTTGTAATTGTGCAACCCATTATTGTGTATAGTAAATTTTTCTTAGATATAATGATTTTATTTTAGATACCTTTCATCCAGACACTGTATTAACATCCCATATTTGTTAATGTGTTCATTACAGAAGAATGCGAGATCGATATCCCAATGTTCGTCCCTTTCCTTCAGCAAGAAATTGAATGACTGAATAATCATAATTCAGGGAGAAGCCTATGTTTATATCAGGTGAAGAGTATAGCTCTTTTCTTGCCTAGCTTAACGCACACTATCCATTCTCTAAACCACTGCTCTAGAAGTAAGTTTCAGCTTGGCAAATCTGGGGCAGCGACCTCTGGCCGAGCGTGCCTTACATGTAACGACGTAGGACGAATAACAGTTTCCTTCAGGGAAATCAAATAAGATACTACGTACCGTGGAGTTTGCAACGCTGTGACATGCGTGGATTGGAAAATCTTTTAGATACGAAGCTAGAAGTTGAGTTATGTTATCTGGAATTTTAGGGTAAAACCATGGCATTTCATGTTTTTAATGTCATACTCGGTAGAAATATAGGTCTGCGGATGTTTCTTTGGGTTCAGTCTTTTAAGCTGGTGTTCTGTGAAATTGCGGTGACGGAAAAGATATGTCTTCGCCACTCGAACACTGGGATCGTGGTTTCGAATCCCACTCAAAGTATGGATGTCTGTGTCAGGTAGCGGCCTTATGACGGACTGATCCCCCGTCCAAGGAATCCTACCGACTGTCTTAGATGAAGAAACTGAAGAGAAACTAAACGGATGCCATGAATTGCAAGCGGAAGAAACAGGAACAAAAGAAGTCCCCATTGTATTTGTTTGTCACCTTATCCTTGAAAGCTTTTGAAGATATTCCTAAATCTTGATCACGAAAAATTCAAGAAGAAGAGTAGTGGATACTGCCGAAACCTAACCGTGTCAAGTGAAGGTCTGTTTCACTTGAATGCGTTTGTTATATCTCTGAAACGAGTTCAGTTGGAGTTTATTTGGTATCAGAAGTAACATTTGGGTTCCGTTTTCAGAGAGCTTGTAATAGAGTGTTAAATGGAATGAGGGTGTACTTTTTTGTTCAGACCATCGACGTCTGCAGAAGAGAATCTTCATCCGTCTTACAGCACTGCGGAGGAACTCGGCAGGAGCGGCCAGGACTGTCGGGCTTTATATCCAAGATGTCCTCTAGGGCTGCTCGACACAATTGCTCCCTTTGCAGAATGACCCATTGGATCTTGTCACCAGCCGAATTTCAACACTTCAAGAAAAATAACGTAGAAACGTCTCGAATATTTATCCTAGAGTTGAAGGCTGATTTGATAAATTTACATGTGATTCATCACAAGTACACACTGAAGCAAGAACGGAAAATTGTAAAATACTTTTTTGAGTTCACCCAACCTACATAAGCTCTCTGTTAACATTCATTTTCCACTCTTCTTGATCTGCATATCTGTTATTGCAGATAAAACTAGTCTCTGTATCTGTAATCATACTATAGATAACATAATTCATAATGTTATATTTCAGCATCCTGTTGCACTGTGCAGATCTGATTTAGGAGCTTTTGTGATGTGTAATTGCAACATAGTTAACTATTCTTTCTTCGTATTCCTTTATTGGACACTACACGTTTCGGCCTCATTGGTCATCTTCAGGTGTACAGGTTGTTATGGTTATGGAGTCTGCTGCTAACTGTAAAGCACTTTTCTTTCCTCCTGTTGTAGTTGCCTCTGGTTATTTTGGATTACCCCACATAACTAGAATAACCAGATGCAACTATTTTTGTTTTTGTTAGTAGGGTGGGACTAAGTCCCTTGTCCTGCGGCCACTTCTGGTCTATTGTATCAGCCCCAGATGATAGGTGAGGGTGATTGTGGAGCAATTGGTGGAATGAAGATTGGCAGGGGAAACCGAAGTACTCGGAGAAAACCTGCCCCCCCGCCACTTTGTCCACTACAAATCCCACTTGACGAGCCCCGGGATCGAACCCGGGCCGCAGCCGTGGGAAGCAAGCGACTAACCGCTTGAG